TACGTACTATACGTACGTACGTACTACGTACGACGTAACGTAACGTAACGTAACGTAGAGTAGTACGTATATAGTATAGTACTAGTATAGTAGATAGAGAGAGAGAGAGAGAGAGAGAGAGAGAGGAGGAGGGAGGGAGGAGAGAGAGAGAGAGAGAGAGAGAGAGAGAAACCAGCTCATGTAGTCCCATAGGCCATCGGAAGCAAGCAATATAAATTCTGCATCAGACCCAAGAGATACTTGGTATATATCTGGGGCAGCAGTAACCCAATCACCATTGATTTTTAATCTGCCATGGAACAAGAATGACACACTTAGAATCACTCTGTTCCCTAAATAATCTTATGGAATTGAGTAGAAGAACGTGTAGCTTTGTGGGAAATGCATTACCGAGAAATAAATTTCCTGGTCCATCGTCCGTCCTCAATTCCTTTCTCCAACATCCTTTTTAACAAAAAAGACACATGCGTCATGATATGCTTGGTCAGCTTGAAATAATTTGATTTAATTGCAGAATAGACTGATGTTTCAAGTATTAAAGGGATTTAAAATGATGAGGCAAGAAAGGAAAGTACAAGGCACGAACTCATTCTTCTTTGTCTTGAAACGGATGTCCCCGAAAGCACGGGATATAGAAATGTCCCCACAAATTCGCCCGTTGACAATCTAAAGAGAGCTTTAGTTATATGTATCTTCTAAGAAACCAAATTAAACAAAAATAACAGTATTCTTAAATAACATGAACTGGAACAATATCAATAGAAAAGTCGATAAAGCACTTAAATCCTGCGAACTTATAGCTCCAATCAAGTATATCTGCCTTGTGTCATGAGAATGAGAATCAAACTTTAGACAATAAGTTCTAGCATGTGTAATTCAGTTCCAAACACAATGACATATACTTCAAAAGAATATCAGATGCATTTATTGCCATGTCGTAACTCTAGAACTAGCAAGGTCAAAAGACATTTCCACCTAAAGGAACAAGAAAGAATCTTGAAAAGGCCTCAAAACTTTTATATGGGGAGAAGAAAATCAGAGGTAACGCATGTTGCATAAAAGCAAACCATGTTCCATCAAGCCATTGGGTTAACAACACTAAAAATATATCCAGTCTGCTCATAAAGGAATGCTGAAAGGCATTCCAAATGATGCAACATAAATGTCAACATCATCATCCAACCCTTGTCCCAATTATTTGGAGTTGGCTGATGCAATATACATATAACTATTAAAATTTATATGCTAGTTCTAACTTGTGATGAAAACCCATGTTGCTATTCCCACTTAAAGGCTGGCGGCAAGACAAGCCATGCCAAATTTGACATTCCTGGACAAGTTTTGGTGTACATATCAACGACATTGTTGACAATAGCAGTCCCTTAAATTGTTAGATTTGGTGGTAATAAGGTGTGGTTATCTATTGGACATCATGATATTTTTGAAACGCACCATACGCAGCCATAATATATAGTATATAACAGTAAAATGTACAAGGGCTTATACTGTCTAGATGTAAATAGAGAGGTGATTTTTCCAATTTTGCATGCATTTGTTGTCATTTTCCAAGTAAAAAGAACATTAGTCATTTTTCTTAAGTGATAAAAGCATTGCAGAAAAAAGTATTCCTGAAACAAATATGGAGAACAAGAAACATACCCATCCACCTGCTTCTCTTATTCTCCTAATCTCTTCGAGAGAAACTCTATTGTTTCCATAAGGACGATGAGAACTCGTCAACACTTCAGCTTTCCCAGAGCGGGAAAGAGCCTAGTAATAGTACACAAAAACATACACATATATTGAATCACAGAATATGAACAACCACCTTAGACTAAGTAAATTAGGTAAAGAATAGAGAAAGTGGTAGATTTGGTGGAAAAGATCACCCAATGAGATATTCAATGGTAGAACTTGGCAATTTGAGTTGTTAAATCCATACCACGCATGAGTCACCAACATGAGAGATTATCAGCATGTCATTACCCACAAATACCACTGTAGCAGTTGAACCAGATTCATCTTCCTTCCCCTTTTCTTCAAGCCTGTGAAAGAACATTGACTAAAGCTTAGAACATAAGAAAGGTAAATGATCTCAACTGAAAAAATAATAGCAAGCCGATTGAAAACGAATGAGAAGACTAAAGGTTCCTATTTATCAGAGATTCTCAAATAGATTGGATTGGAAATTTGGAATTGCATAACTTTTCTGGCACATAAACCTTTACCAATTTAGTAGTTTCATATCAGCTTTGAAGAAAGCATCTTCAAATGCTTCCCTAATAGCAACATAATCTTTGCCACTCAAGAGCAAACCATCTTGTAAAGATGTCACACATTCCTTGTACAGTTCATCCCTACAGTAAATAAAAGGTCAGATCGGGCATGAAAAATAGACGAGTAATTATTCCCAGCTAAAACAGTCCTTCAAAGGGAAGGGCAGCAGTGAACAATGTACACTTTCTTACGATATGCTAATTGATTGGTTTACAAAATATGGGAGCAGTTGGGAACCAATTAATAGTTAAGCTGTGATACCATCTGATGCTGGGAGCTTTAGTTGTTTGATAACATATCCTCAGTTATGTTATGAAAGCATCCGAAATTAAGTGATAAAAACTTCAGTAACTGAGTTATATATCATCTTTATTAGACATTGTTTACAGTGCAAATCAGGACGATCTCAAGATGAGAATCGACCGGATCCGAACCACAAACTAATTTTTTATAAGAGTGATAGAGAGTGGGAACAATCAAATTCTGATATGAGGCCAGATCTACTAAAAAATGAACAGATTTGCTCTCAGATCAGTGGCAGAGCCACATCAATCAGAAATGAGAAATACTACATAAAATGTAATAAAACTAATTTAATTCTAATAAAAATAAATAAATAAAAGAAAATACATGCAAAAAGAGTAAAAAAAAATACCAGACTCGGTGAAATGGCCTAGAACTCCTGAGGCTTCAAGGCCTCGCCTGTATCAGAACGACTGAGTTTATGTCGTGTGTCCTCTTTGTATCTCTTCAATGTTGGTTGAAAGGTTTTTTTAGATCTAATCTAAGCTTAGGATTTGATAAGGTTTTTCCTAGATCTAGGGTTTCTCACAAGTTTTCTCTGAAGGCTCTCTTTTTTCCAGCTTTCACTCTCTCTCTTGGGCTCTCTCTATCTCTCAGATTTACTGGCCTACTGGTTAACAAGTCCAACCTTAAATGGGTCAAAAAATGTGCTTATATAAAAGCTCAAATCGTACCATAATGGATATATACCAGATTTGCCAGCCAAATTTCCATTTTGGGGGTCAAAGGGAGCCCAAATATGACCAAAATTAGCAGCTTCAGGTTTTGGGGTGATTCGCATGTTTTTGTGATATTGCCTACCAAAAGTCAGGTAAAAATAAGTTGTTTTGCTATTTTTACTTGATTTATTACTAAAACAATGATCTTGCAGGATTCTGGATCACAGGGATCACGAACTACAATGGTCTATGGTTCGGGGTTTTTTGGATTAGTGTGATCTTAAGGGTTCAAGAATATCACATAATTTGTCAGTTTTAAAAATAGGGTGTTTACATACATAATAAGATACTCAGCCTACTCAAATGTGATTCATAGATAATCTAAAGAGGAAACATGAATTAAGGATTATCTCATAATATTAATTAAGGATTAAAACATGAATAAATCAACAAAAAGTCAACGACCGGTTTGGAGACATAAGAGGAAGACCATCTATACCAATGAGTGTCGTAAGGCCTAGCTCCGTGTTTGAGCATTAACCAAATAAACAAATGTCCAGAATATTTTTACCACAAAAAGATAAACCATCATATACAATTCACTCAAAATAACATAAGTACTTACAAATCCTCTACTACCGTATTGTCCAGATCATCACGAATAAGATATATCATTGTAGTGATCTCCATGTACATCATTCGAAAGTGAAGAATGGACGAGTGTGATAAGAAATAAAAGCCGTGCAACATAGAATTAGTCACAGGGATATCGGACACAATAATTGTTGAACATGATGAATCATGGGTGTCTCGAAACACATGAGTTTAGAATAACATACACTCAATTACGAGGAGGGACGAGTCATTGAGTATTAGTCTTTGTAGAACAAACAACAAAAATGGCTATATGCACTTTACTGACCTTCAAGAACAACTAATTCAGAAACTATGTTGCAATCATCTGAGTATGGGGAATAAAATCAGGAGTTAAATCAAAGAAATTGCCAAATCCCGTAAGAAAAGATACAGACATGCCATATAAAACAAACAAAATAAAAAAATTCAACCACAGGATTACAAGAGATAAAAATGATAATTAGTGAAATACTAATCGGTAATTCAGTACCATCAATACTAGGGTTTTTTCGATTGTGAAGTAGAGAGAGAGAGAACTGATGAATTGAACAGAGGAACCAGCATGGAGAGAGAGACCTGAGGAATTGGACAGAGGAGAAACCGGCATGGCCATCAAAGACGGCAGCATAGGCAAAGGAATCAAAAGCATTTGGCTTTACAACGACGTCATCTTCCATCTCAGAGCGAGGGCCCTGCACACTGCTCCACCCCCACTTTATGCCCCCTGCAACCGCAATGGTGGGATGGGCTTCAGCGGCCGCAATTGTTGCAGAGGGGCGAGAGAGAAAGGCCTTCTTCTTGGTCTCAAAAGCATTTGGCTTTACAACGACGTCATCTTCCATCTCAGAGCGAGGGCCCTGCACACTGCTCCACCCCCACTTTATGCCCCGTGCAACCGCAATGGTGGGATGGGCTTCGGCGGCCGCAATTGTTGCAGAGGGAAGAGAGAGAAAGGCCTTCTTCTTGGTCATCAGGCAGGTGCTCCTCAGCACCAGCCCTTGGCTCACCAAAGCCATCTCTGTCTCTCTTATTTCTCTCTCTTAATGGAGGACGGTGCACCAGAGCCACCACCCTCTTCTCTCTCTACTTATTTTCTCTCTCTCTCTCTCTCTCTCTTATCTGCGCGAGGGGAGGGGAGAGCAGCACGGCCACCAGCCTTTTCTTTCTCTCTCTACATTTGAAAGGCCTCCCGCCCTTTCAACGAATGACATTCTCGCCTTCCAAATTCTCCATCCAAGGATAAGGGATGTAATGGTAACTCAAAGAAAGATTAAGGATAAAATAGAGATTTTACATTTCCAGTGATCTTAACCGCCCATTTATTAGGTTCGGCAGTGATAGAGAAAGAGCGGGAACCAAATCCAAGGCATGATACCGCGCCCTCGCGGGTTTCACACAGATACAAGTATACGAGAAATTTAGTTTTGGGTGCGAGGCTCTAAACAATCACAATGGAGCGCGTCTTCAAATAGCGTCGAGAGAAATGTGGTAGTCTTAAAATATATTTTTATTTTTACTTATAAATTTTAAAGCTTAAAAAATAATGGAGATGAAACATATATATGAAAAGTTGAAATCTTGAAAATTGATGGTCTAAAAGTACATTACAAGATGTACTATTTCCAAAACTTGAATTACCTTTTTTTTTTTTTTTCTCATGTCCATGGATCTTGAGGTTCACATGATCAATTTAAGGATATTTGGACATGAAAACAAACCTGTTCTAGTGAAATTTTTTAGGTGTCTCTTAATTTGATTGTCTGAACTTTTTTCTTTACTTTTAGCACAAGAAGGTCACATTTAATGTTGTTTTGCCACATTTTGAATTGGTTACTTGTAAATGTGTCATTGACTAGATTCAAATTTTAAAAAAGAAGGTGTGGTTTATTTAGAGCCAAGGCTCTAAACAATCAAAATAAAATACACCTTCAAATAGTATCGAGAAATGTGGCTTCAATATTGGAAATCGTTGCGATAGCTTTTATATATTTTCATCTTTAATTATAAAATTTAAAGCTTAAAAAATAGTGTAGATTGAGTAAATCTATGAAAATCTTGAAAATTGACGGTCCAAAAATACGTTACAAGATGTACTATTTTCAAAACATGAAATCCATTATTTCTCCTATCCATGCATCTTGATGTCGCGATGATCAATTTGATGATATTTAGGCATCAAAACAACTTCATCTAGTGAAATTTTTGAGGTGGGCTCTAATTTGATTATTTAGAGCCTCAGCTTTATATAAACTTTTTCTTAAAAAAAAAGAAGCTAATACCTTGAAGAAAAAAAAAAAAAAAGCTAACTCCTAGTCTACTTGAAAAAATGGGTAGGGGCCGATCTTCCCTACCCAATTACCCAAAAAAAACCTTTAAAAAAAGTCTCAAATTTCATGTCACACCCAATGCTATCCAATTTGACATCTAATGGTTAAAAGTAATTGTGGTCTCCTTGTAATAATGAATGGGGATTGTATACAATGAGACAATTTACTTTTACTACAAGGTTGTTACAATTATTGATAACCGTTCAATATGAAATAGCTCGAGTGTGTTACAAAATTCGAGAAAATATATTTAGAAGTTTGAGTTTAGTCAATGGAATAAATGCAACCACTTAATTTCACATCCAATGATCAAGATTAATTGTGACCACATTGTATTAAAGGTAAATGGTCTCATTCTATATTTTTCATAAAGATAAACAGTTTCATAGACTATTCACTTTTGATACAAAGATCACAATTAATCTTGACCAATAGATGTCAAATTGGATGGTTGTATTTGTTCTGTTGACCCAACTCCAAGTTCAAAATAAAGTTTTTTGGACTCTGTAACACACCTAAGTTGTCAAATTTCACATTAGATGGTTTGAAATAGTTGTGACCTCCTTGAACTAAAAATAAATGATCTCATTATATATGATGCCATATTTTAAAGCTTGTTTATGTCTTCTTATATCCCCCTCGTATCCACATCATGTGAATCCTTACTTTAACTTTTTTGTTTTTTAATATTTTTCGAGATTAACGATCTAATGATCCGATACAGATTTGTTGGGAGCATGACCTACCCCACTAGATCTTAAAACATTGAATAGTATCATAGCTATAGTTTGGACCAGTGTTTAAAAAAATGCCGAGTCGAACCGGACTCGCCCGGTTCGACTTAGGAATCACCATAGAGGGATCGAATCGCTGTAAAAAACGGGAATCGTCCGATTCTAGAGAGAACCGGACGATTCTGCACAGTGATTCGCAGATTCACTGTACGGAATCGGCGAGTCCCGTGAAGAACACGGGTTGCACAGTGTTCTTCACGGGATTCTTCGAAATTCGTCATTTTTTGATCATTTTTCTTGTTTTTTTTGGCATGTGATCTAATTTGCAGGCTGTAAACAACTTTATTCAGCTTTTACACGGATTAAATGGTTGAAAAATTTGGTGTTTTTGGATCACGAAACTTGCATTTTTAAGGTTTTCACCTTTCTTTGTGTTTCATGCCAAATAGGGCATGAATCTTTCAAAATTTGTAGGCATTTTGATCGTAAAGCTGTGCATCAAAACCTTTTGTTACTAATTTGTGATAATCGTTGAGAAAAACAGAGGTTTTTGGAGATTGAAGGCTTCGGTTCACAAAATCAGGTAAGAAGTTTGGGTTTTTTTTTTTTTCCGCCATATGATTAATTTCACAGCATATTTTGAAGATAATGAGTTCAATTTGTAGGGTTTTTAATCTTTATTGTGTCTATTATAATTTAAAATTTTCAATTTTATGTAATTTGGTCAATTACAGCATGAAATTTGATATGAATACAGAGATGTCTGCGGAACCAGAATTCCGCTGTTTGTTTTTTTTTTTTCCGCCTTTTGATTTTTTTTCATGATATATTATAAATAATGTGTTAAAAATTTAGGGTTTTGATTCTTTATATTGTTGTTTATCAGAAAATGTACTCAATTGGATGTAATTTATTCACTTAGAGGTGGATTTTTGAGTTAAAATGGTTTATGTAAGATGGCTCTGTGAAGAACAGATTTTTTTTTTTTTTTTTTGTTTTGTTTTTTTTTGTAATCCATGATCGAATTTTTTGTAATACTTGATCGATTTTTTTGTAATCCATGATCGAATTATTATTATTATTTTTTTTGTAATCCATGATAGTAAATTTTTGTTTTTTTTTTTTGTAACCCATGATAGAATTTTTTGTAATCCATGATCGAATTTTTTGTAATCC